TGAGGGGTGCCCGCCTTTGCCCCGCTGCCCTCCCTGCCGCTCGGGCCATGAGGGGTGCCCGGTTTTGCCCCGCTGCCCTCCCTGCCGCTCGGGCCCGGTTCTCCTCAGCGGAGCGGGGTGTGCGGAGCGCGCTCGGTGCCGTGCCGGCCGCCCCCGCCCGCCCGTGCCGCGCTACCCGCAGGCCTTTTCCCGTCCCTCCTGGGAAAAAGACGCAAGGAACATTGAACCTGGAGGTTATCTGTCAGCGGGAGCAATTTCCCTCCGTTGGCGACCTCTTTTTTTCCCCCGATTCAGCTGCCTCGTGGTAGGTGCGGTGGTGCTGAAGAGGGGCGGCTGGCTTGGCACAGGCGCTGGGATAGGTGGTGCAAGAGTTCAACGCAAGGAGCTTTCAGTGCCATGTGTGAGGGTGGGAGAGTAGCATACATCGCTGAAGGCAAAAAAGGTCAGGGCATGCTATCAGCCACAGTAATGCTAAATTGTTAATCTTGCTAATTGTTAATCTGCAAACGGCTTGGGTAGATCTCCCTTTCCTAGTTAATGGGGTGGCCAGTATTTGCAGATGATGTTACTTGGACTGTTGGTGAAGTAAATGTAGCAGTTTACATGGTATTCTACAAAAATGTGTTCTTCAATTCTGTTAACACAACCCTGAAAACAGGTTTTGCAAAACACCAGATTTTTTTCCTGCTAGTGCTAGAGACAAGCATAGTCACCTTGTCTTTGYGAAAGTGAAGGTTATGTATTTTTCTCCAAGACCATCAAGTGCTTTTGATCAGCATTTGTGTGCATGTATTAGCCTTGTCTTCCTTAGAGAACTTTTACAGTACTCAGATGATTTGTATAAGCTGTAGACTGCAATGGTGGACTTTGAGGCTTCCAGCAGGGAGATGCTACCCAGGTTTTGGATTTTCCTTTGCCTGTAGCTTGTCCAAGGCTTCAATCTTAAAGCAGTTTGAAGAGATCCAAATTAAGACATGAGCATGTACTTGTTTTTTCATCACCTCAGTTGCCACGGATGGTTTAGTCAAGTTATCTTGTGTATTGGATTTAATTGACTACTGAAGCATGTTAAAAATACATGTAGTATCCCCTCAATTACCTTCCCAGAAGGGTTTCATTGGAGAACAAGGAGTTCTGAAGACAAATATTGGTGTACAAGAAGTAGAAYTTAGGAGCTAATCGCAGACCACTGCATACACAAATGGTTGAGAAGGATCCATCTTTGTTCTCTTTATGCTTGTTCTCATTTGAAATACTAAACATTCTGCAGGTTGGTTTTATTATGGTTTTTTTGGTTGTTGGGGTTTTGGTGGTGTTTTTGGTTGGTTTTTGCGGGGGGGGGAGGTGTGTTGGTGTTTTTTCATTTCCAGAATAGTGTACAAAGAACTTGTGCCCAAAACCACCACTATGAAACAATTCAGGTGTGAAAGARGGTCACAGAAATGTAGGATAATATGAATCTGAAAATGGTTCAGTATTTACCCAGGCGTTTCACTCCAGGAAGGTGATGGTCCTTCAAAGAAATACAATGGCAGGCTTRTACCGTACTAGAAGTGATGACCTTTCCCTGCCCCAAATTGACCACCAAAATATTGTGGSTCTCGATTGAAGTCCCTGAGCCGGCCGTGTTTGAGGATGAAGCTGCAGCTGGTGTGGCAGAGGCAGAGTGCAGCCCTGCCCGCTGCTCCYGACCTGGCACCCACAGGTGGCAGCYGGCAGYGCCCGGGGAGCTYGATCTGCCTCCYTGTCACCCCTGGTAGCCTCAGAGAAACAGTACACTACTCCATCTGCTTTAAAAACAAACAAACAAAAAGCCCACTGTAAAAATACGTAAAAGTCTTCAAACTTATTATCAGCGCTTTCTCAGAGTTATTGAAGGAGCCAGTGGTATTGCTGGTACTACTTTTAAGTTAGGTTCCTAAAGTTCAGACAGGAGGAGATGGTGGTCATATACCCATGAGGAATGTTCCAAGCAGTAAAACTAGTCATTTAAAGGTGGCCAGAAAATGGGTRTAGCAGTGGAGTGGACACTCTGTGTAGGTAGCCTTAATTCATGTAATAGCTTGCACTTCAGTGGGAATTTCACATCAACACCAAAAGATCACATCATGATGTGTGGCATAACAGCAAATTGGGCCAAAATTCTACTGATCTCAGCCAAGGTGGAAGGGCCACCTTCACATAACCCTGGAAAGGGACAATAGTCAATTACATTCAAAAAGTAGCCATAAAAAATAGTCACTTTAGTTTGTRGGACTGTTGCAACTCTGCAAAGCTGTGTTGGCAGGTCCCTGGGAGTAGCTGTTGGAGTCTAATTGCAGTCTAATTTGACACTTCATAAGTCAGCATCACCAGGAGGCTTACTGGTTTTGATTGAGAGGTGGTGCAYGTTTTTTTTCAGAGTAATGGCACAATTTAGAGCTGTGTTCACTGCCATGACTGCTATTCTACCCTTCAAGAGAAATGGGCTAGGCTTTGCGCTTTGTGAGAATTCTTGGTTCATTCTAACAGGACCTCCTTGGTTCTGWTTGTTTGATTTAACAGCTGGAGTGAAGGTACAGCACTGGAGGCAATTCATAGGGCTGAACTGGARCAAATCCAAACCACTGGATTCCATTGTCCTTCAGCACAGTGTAATTGAGTGTACTCTAATTGGAGCAGTGCTGACCATCATGATACCAGATTTTTTAAAAGTTCTTAATTCAGTCAAAACAAGAAATAAGGAAACTGATGAAGATGAAATCCTTTCCTCCTAAATCTGCCTACCCAACGAGTTCAGGGGTTAGGTATTGTGTACTCCTATATTTTAGTGCTGAAAGGATATTGGAGTCACTTAAAGAGATGTTTCCTATGGAGTACTATAAAACTGCCATAACAGTAACAAGTTTTTCATACAGTAGTTTGAGCACAGAGGTAATATATGTACAATCTTAGATGTTTAATCCTGCTGGCTCAAGAGCCAGTGTTGAGCTTTTCTGTTTTAAATCAAGTCTTACAGCTCTGCAGGGATCACTGCACCATGACATTGTGACAAGGGGATGCTGATTCATGCATAAACCTTAGATCCTTTCATTATATCTTCAACCAGCAGCTTTGAAAACCTATGAATATCTGGCATGTTGCAACTTGAGAGTCATGGCAAAGGTTTCCCCAACATTTTGAAATATAATGCTATAGCTTTCATTCTTAAAGTAATGGCATTTAGCCTATTGCTGGCAAAAAGCTTAAAAATAAGCAAAAAAAAATCTTTTAGCAGGAAGGATGGAATAAATTTAGATGTGTTTATTTGAATTAAAATTACTGTGGACTAAACCTAAATGTATTTCACAATAAATTATTAGAACTGATTTTAAGGAAAGAAGGRATTTATTAGCTGCTTGTGCTTTAGTTGATTTGTATTCCTGGTCGTTCTCATTTCCTTTTCACTATAAAACATTTCTCAGGCTCAGTGATCAGATGTGAAATAGGTTCTGTGCCTCCATGTAATTAAAATGGTCAGGATCAGATGGGTTACTGCAGTAAAATGATACAATAAAACCAGGATATAGCCTACAGTGGGAACTSCTGTGATTTTCCTTCTCTGAAAACATTTCTCCTCTCAGAATTGATCTCTGTTGCAAACTTTAAACATTCTTCTACTTCCAGGAGTTATTCATAAAGAAACCTGGGGTATTTATTGTGTGACAGTGCTGTCCCTGCTGTGCATCTTTGTGCTTGGCTCACAGATCATTTTCACACAGCCGTGATCCAGAATGTGGGCAGATAGAGTTTTTGCTTGCCTACTTGACTTTTCAAATTCT